TTGAACAAGAGACTGCGTCAGAAGCATCTCGCCTGGGACTGCTGCTGAGTGGTCCAAAGTTATGTTCTCTGATTACAGTAAATTTTGCATTTCCTTTGGAAATCAAGGTCCCAGAGTCTGGACGAAGAAAGGAGACACAGAATTCATATTGCTTGAGGTCCAGTGTCAAGTTTCCACAGTCACTGGGGTGTCATGTTAGCTGCTGGTGTTGGTCCACTGTGTTTTATCAAGCGCAGGGTCAATGCAGCTAGCTATCAGAAGATTTTGGAGCACTTCATGCTTCCATCTGCTGAAAAGCTTTATGGAGATGAAGATTTCATTTTTCAGCACGACCTGGCACCTGCTCACAGTGCCAAAACCACTGGTAAATGGTTTACTGACCATGGTATTACTGTGCTCAATTGGCCTGCCAACTCTCCTGACCTGAACCCCATAGAGAACCTGTGGGATATTGTGAAGAGAAAGTTGAGAGACACAAGACCCAACACTCTGGATGAGCTTAAGGCTGCTATCGAAGCATCTTGGGCCTCCATAACACCTCAGCAGTGCCACAGGCTGATTGCCTCCATGCCACGCTGCATTGAAGCATTCATTCATGCAAAAGGATTCCCGACCAAGTATTGAGTGCATAACTGAACATGATTATTTGAAGGTTGGCGTTTTTTGTATTAAAAACACTTGTCTTTCATTGGTGGGATGAAATATGCTAATTTTTTGGAACAGGCATTTTGGGTTTTCATGAGCTGTATGCCATAATCATCAGTATTAAAACAATTAAAGACCTGAAATATTTCAATTGGTGTGCAATGAATCTGAAATATATGAAAGTTTCATTTTTATCATTACATTATGGAAAATAATGACCTTTATCACAATATGCTAATTTTTTGAGAAGGACCTGTATATGTTGCTTTTCTATGGCACAATTACCAAAAATGTAAAGAACTAGATTGTTCTTTAAACATACTCGCCTACAAGCGCATAGTTGCTGGAAGAAAAAGTCCTATTTGTGTTCTGCCTTCAATTCAATTCATTTTATTTATATAGCACCAAGTCACAACAAAGTTGTCTCAGGGCACTTTACAGGAACATTCACATACATAAAAGTCAATTAGTAAAGAATATAAGGAAGCAGCAGACAAGTTGAATCTTGGCTTTGCTGCAGTCTCCCATTCCAGTTCTACTTGTGGTCCTAATGGTACACAAGCTTTCATCACTTATATTAGATTGTGTGATATTCATGTGTGAAATTAAATTTAATGATTGTGTTGTGGCCCAGGTGTTTGCTTCAACAACGTTGGACGTCCAGCAGGAGCTCTCGTGGGATCAGTTACGAAATTTATACCGAGGACCATCCAGGGTAATTAAATCTGTCCCCTTATCTTGATTTTAAAGTATTTTATACAAACACATTACTTTAACCAGGATTAAGAAATGAACACTGTCAAGATGAGACTCCAACTCAAGTATACAGTAGTTCCTCGAATATCGTGGGGGATCCGTACCCTGAAGACCCTCGATAAGTGAAAACCTGCAAAGTAGGAATAGTAGTATATATATTAAGACATTTTGAACCCTTCCCACACTATTGCATTATTCTAAACAATGTTTCTAAACTCTAAACGCTCTAAAAGAGCACAGAATGTCATGATTTCAGCTCTCTGCCTCCTCTGCTCTTTGTCACCTGCATGCGCTCTTGGCCACGCCCACTTCTCTGCACGCTGAACAGCTGATCAGCTGCAGCAGGAAGTTTATCCTCCAGTATGGACTGCACAAGGGTGCAGCAGGTGCTAAATAATTTTAAATAATTGATTTTAAATAAAAATTCCATGCTGATCATGCAGCTCATCCATAAATCAACCAGTTGCATGTCATGTCCAATCTTATTTTGAAAAACTGCGATAGAGCGAATCCACGAAGTAGCGAGGGACTACTGTACTTGGTGTAATTAGGATTTTTAGTTTTATTGGTATTAAAAAAAATTGTTTTTTAAATAAAGCCCTTTACATAAAGAAATCCACAAAGTGCTTTACAGTAGAATACAGTAAGCAAAACAACCTTTTAAGGATAAACAGACTTAAAATGCAGTAGAAAAAACTTAACTCGAGGTTTGTCTTCAGCAGGTCCTTAAACCTGTTGATTGATCAACTGTCTTTGTCTTTCGTCCAGTTGTCCATCCTTTCAGAGGTGTCCAGCGGTCAAAGCAGTGAAAAGATGGGGTTTCTAATTCCAGCCCAACCAGGACCTGCAGAGAGTTTACTCCTTAAACTCTCTCCCCCACCACTTATTGAAGAATGATGCCCTCACAGGTCAAAGGTGGATGTTTGCCTCAAAATGTCCTGTAATAAATCTGTCTATCCTTCAACATTTTCTGACTGTATGGTTTGTTTCTCCTCAGATTTCTCATGGTGTAACCCTTAACCAACTGCTTTCTACATGCAAGTTGATTAAACCATGTTAACAACAATCCTCTAACAAAACACGAAACAAAGTCAGAGAAGAAAAAACTTTAGTTTATAAATGCAGGTTTCAGGCTGCAGTGTGTCTGTTAGCAAGTAGATAGTCTTTCATTCTTCTTCACTTTGGACTGTGGGAGAAGCTGCTGTTTAAAGCACCTACAGACAGGGCACCTGTTGATTCAGGTTTCACTCTACTGTACGTTTAGACACGACTTTACATTTTAAACAGTTCAAATTAAATCCCAAGACTGATCATCCTGTAAAATCAGTTTGTATTTGTCTGCCTTTTTTGAAGCATCCACGGTTTGTGTTTTACTTGAGCAACACTTGTAAATATGCTTGTAATTAATAAAAGAGCATGCTTTAATGATCACAAGTTGTTTATTTTTAAAGTCAAGGGGAAAAAAATCCTTTCACATCTAGTTTTAAAAAGCACAAAGGTGTATTTGCTTCAGGACGGGATCAGATTTGAACCAAACAAATTGAAGTAAGTTTTAATGAGCTTCACGTGGTTTTTGCACATTCAAGCCCCACATGCAGAAATGTGTCATTAAAACACCAACATACATTTAAATTTTATTTCTTGTTATTGTTTGTAAGGAACCAGTGGGACATTTACAGCTTTCAGAGTGAAAAGGGTCAAGGTTCTGCATCCACACAGTTTGTTATAAATAAGCTGTCAGACTCGAAGGCTGCGAGGACTCAGTTCAAGTCTCACAATAAATTAAAACATTTCACAGCTCATGTATCTCTGCTGGTTTTAGGTTTCTTTTTTCCTGCCCACACGCCACCTCCTCCACTCAGCAGGTCAGCAGTGTCTCACCAACCACAGCTCATCACTGTTCGAAGATTAAAGTCTGGTTTTGAAAAGTCACGGCCAGGAATCTAGAAAATGGCTGTACAAAAGGACCTGCGTGTTCATCTTTAATTTAGCCCAAGTTTGTTGCGTTATTGCAGGTATATTATTATTGTCTGTTTAGCACATTTTTGTCTCTCTTGAAAACGAGTCTTCATGACTCGAGACTAATCTGTATAAAGGTTGAATGAATGAATTGTCCTTAATGGGTGTCCTCACACGATGATGCAATCCCAACCCTGTTCCTACTTGACGCATGCTGCAATTGTCAGCTCTATTCATCTTTTCAGTAATATGTGATGATCCTTATTTACTCTGCATATTGTTTTTATGTTTATGTTCATAATATGCAGTATGACATGATTTACTCACATTTGTTTCTGTTGTTCACAACAAACCACTCGGCACACATTCATCTTGACCCACAGCTGTAATCATGTTTGCGGAGTACAGAAGTTAAAGGTCTGTGTGGTGTCGTCCTGCGTACATCCTGCAGAACTGAACTGAATCCTGGCCTTGAGGTGGCGTTCTGGCCGAAACTCCAGATTGAGTTGTGACGAAACATCCACAGCCTTGCAGTCCTAACACGAGTTACATCACCTCTGGTACTTGTGAAAAGTCAGCTTTACTGGAATAAAATGTAAAAGGCTCTTAGTTCCTGCTGTTCTTGTTCTGTAGTTTACAGTTACATCTTTTCTCATTTTTGTTTACAACATCCTCAGAGCTTACGTTCAGGACTTTCTCTCCAACAATAAATATTTAATTGCTAAAGCTCTATTTAAAGTCTTAATTTACTAAACCTTGTTTGAACGCATTTTGGTTGCAAACCTTGGCTTTTATAAAAATTTTAAAATTCTTCATTCATAAAATCTGGGTTTGTTGCGAAATCCTAGAAGCAAAATGCCGTCACATTTTTAAATAACGTTTTAATGAGACAAACTGCACCAAGAAAAGAAATCGAGAACAGGCCGCATCAATGTCTTTAAAAGCATCAGAGTATTGGTCAGAAAGACGAATCTGATTTACACACTGCTTTATTTCAATAAATGTACAAATCTTACATCACGGTGGTCGACCGAACAAGTCATTTCTAATTTAGCAATAAAGTCGACCATATAAAAGCAAATATTTTCCTCTTAAATCTCTTTCCGCGGGTTGGGAAACCTCTTGAGCAGAGATGTGGCTTGTTTCGGTGTCAGACGTCCTCCGGGATTATTCATCACTTCAGACTTGTTGCTCTGCGCCGCCTGTCAAGAATGAAGAGGATTTTCAAACGATGCTTTTAGGAAAATTGTACTTTTACTGACAAATCTAGGATTCCCTGGAGCGGGCAGCACCAACATAAAAAGATGTGCCAAAGAGCTTGAATGTTTCTGAGCAGACTGCATGACGTGCACGTTTCACAAAGCTCAGTGACATGATTAACTTTTGGTTTGTGGTTCATGTACCTGGATGATGGAGCTTTGAAACCTCTTTAATCAGTGTTGTTTCAAGTTGTGTAGTTCTACACAGGTGGCATCTGCCACGCTCTTATTAAAACGTGCTGAACATTTGTCACTAACGTGAATCATTTGTGAAGCATGTTGTGTTTATAAAGTTAATGGAGGCAAGAAAAAGCATTAAAATAGTGAATTTATTTCCAACAAAAGGTTTGTCCACAAAATTTCTGAACCAAGTTTTACCTGTAATTCACTATTTGTATTATTCCAGTGTTTAATTGTGTCTATTAGTTCACACAATAAGCGTTAATATTTTCTATCCACTTTTTTCCCTTCAGAATCAGATGAGGAGGTGCTGATAGGTCGGAGCGTTTTGTTAGTAATCAAGTTCATGAAGCAGCTAAAAATGCAAATACTTACAACTTTTATGATCGTCATTGAGGCTAAACACCGTTAGCTTTATGAAGGAGTGCACACAAGCAGTCTGCTTCAGTAAACTCAAAAACCAGGAAGTGTGAGATGACTTTACAAACACGTGCACTATTAGACTGCTCTACAGCTCCACGCTGGAGGCAGCAGGTGAAAGCAGACACATACCTGAGCTTTCTTCACACACGCGTAGAAGGTATCGACCTCAGAGAAGCACAAACTGTCGACAAAGTTGTTCTGTTTCCAACAAGCCATCAGGACGTACATCTCAGCGACGCAGGTGGCCCCTGGAGAAAAACATTCAGGTTTATTTCTGGGTTCACACTGTCACATTAGGTTTACAGCTTAATACTGTGTGATTTGCCACAAACCCAAAAGGCAAAAGAACCATTTTAGTGCTTGTATTCTTTTTGTCCATCATCTTAGCAAAATGTCTCACGAAGCACTGGACAGAATTTATGAAACTCAGAAATTACTGGATGCATCTTCACAACTAATTCACTTTTGGAGTCAACCCAATTCAAGCTGACAGCCACGACTAATCAGGATCAGAATAAGCTTTATTATAATTGTACCGAAACAGTGAGATTATGTTCGTACAGTCGTCCAAAAGAGGGGCGGAGTGCACGTTGCTGCTGCAGCACGGCCCCTTATCCTTTTTCAGAATACTTTTTAGATAGAAAAGGGGAAAAAGCCACGAGGATAGTGGTATTACAAAAAAGATCTCTTCATACCTTGTCCCATCAGGACATGGTTTAACACATCAAAACTCTACCAGCAGCACATTTATAACACATTACATGTGCATCAGACGTCAAGACAGTGAGGTTTGTCCATGAAGCACTTCCAGATAGTCCATTGACCTGATAAGGTGTTGGTATCATCCAGCACAGCTCTGAGAAGCCTTCACAGAAGTGACACGGGGTGGGGGGGTGGAATAGACGAAGCTTTTCCTTAGTTTACACATAACCCAGGAGAAATTTGATAGTCATTCTGGTTCGAGGCCAACCAGGGGAGTCAGATTCAGATAAGCCACAAGTGTAGATTTTTGTTTTCAGGCAGACTGTTGTTTTTTTAATCTTGTCAGCTTTGGGCCCTGCTGGTACTTTCAAGATTCAAAATGGTCAGATTTGTGGGCATTCCACTGGTCCATGTTATAAGCCTCCTCCAAGGTCGCCTCCAACATGTTGGCCAGTCCCAGACGCTGTAAGTAACCTGCAATTAGAGCTGGGCGATATGGACCAAAATTAAAATCTCGGTATTTTCAGATAAATCGCAATACATGACATATATCTCAATATTTTTTTTCTTTCCATAAAGTAATAACAAAAATATATTTCTGAGTCAAAGCTTTGTCCCAGTTGTCACACAGGCACATTTATTAACAAACAGCTGTAACTCTACAAAATAAATGTAAAAAAATTAACTATTTACATATATTAAAGTTTTTGGGGTTTTTTTTACATTTATTTACATATATGGGCAACACGGTGGTGCAACTGGTAGAGCTGCTGCCTCTCAGCAAGAAGGTTGCCGGTTCAAATCCTGGTCCGGGGGCCTTTCTGGGTGGAGTTTGCATGTTCTCTCAGGGGCGGCTGTGGCTGAGTGGTTAGAGCAGTCGTCCTCCAATGCAAGAGTTGGGGGTTAGAATCCACCAGCAGTCACATGTTGAAGTGTCTCAGGACAAGACAGTGAACCCCTCGTTGCCTCTGATGTGTGTCCCATCAGTGTATGAATGTGATAAATCACCTATTATGCCCCTTTTCCATTAGTACCTGTAGTACCGGTACAGCACGGCTCTACTCCGTACGATACAGGTTGTGTTTCCATTATGCTTTCAGTACCGGTTCCAGTGGGCGGGGTTCAAATTGACGTCACCACCTCTCACCAGCTGGTGGCGCTGAGACGCAGAAACTGTTTTAAGTACAGGTTGAGAATTTATGTTATTTTAAAGTTGTGTATATGTATGTATGCATGTATGTGTGTATGTACATGTGTATAAATATATTTATATACACACGTATATATATATATATATATATATATATATATATATATATATATATA